CCTCCCCTCCCTCTCCCCTTTCCCCATATTCTTGAGCTATAATTGGGTAATAGCTTTCTTATGAAAGCTATAAATTAGTTTCATAGTAGGGCTGTGTACATTGGGTACTTTTTCTTCCATTCTTGAGATACTTTGCTAAGAAGAATATTTTCCTATTCTTAATATCAGCAGTTGGTAGCAACTTGTTTGACTAAGGCACACTGATAGCCTTATGTCTATCCTACATGAGTTCATTTACTCTAATAAATTATGCTTGGTTACACACTTCCTAAAGCAAAATAACCCCCTGCCTGTGTGGAGCCAAACATTGTTTTCAGTCAAGGAAGGTTAGCAATCTATGCAATTAATTTCCTTTAAAAAAAAAAAAAAATTTCAAGAAAAATTTGTAAGGATTTCATGTATTAAGTCATCTTAGAAAAGTCAGAGAATTTGTAAAAATTTGTAAAAATTTTCAAGAAAAATTTGCTCTGAAAGAAAATTTATGAGCTTAGTTTTTCATCAAGCTATAATTTGTTGTAAAATGGCTAATAAAATTTTCTTTTTAACTAATATAAATCAAGGGACATTGTTTATGCAATTGCATTAGGATATTACAATTTATACCTAGTATTGTTTAATGTCCTCTGCACTTTAATTTTGGCAGTAATTTAAGAGATAGTAGGCAATACCTTCTTCCGTAAAGAGGAAAATAGAAAGGGGAAAAAAACTCCAGAAATTTTGCACTCAAGCCTAACTCCTAATTTGTTTGACTGTTTAGGTACTTTTGTGAGCGCCTCAGTTTTTGTAAACACTAGCTGAACAAAATGAAGAAAGTAGTAAAAAAACCTAAACTCTTTTTTTTTTTTGGAAAACACAACTGATCTAGCACATGGCCTGGGAAGGGAAGGGAAATTAGCTTCAGTATTTTCAACTAGTCTGCCTTGGGCATTCCAAGGTTGATTGAAAATCCTAGTACTGACATAAGAAAATATGATAGTAAAGTTCTTTTAAAGAAAAAAGAAATTCATTTTTGTTTTTTAAAAGATATTTGATTATCTTTAGGAATATTTTTTTAACTACTGAAGAGAATAGATAGCAAAGAACAAGGGTTATCTTAGATTTCTACTTCTTTCTACCAGTATTTGTTCTCCAGAATATTCTTTAGATTATGCATACCTCATTGATGTTCTTTAAAAAGGAAACCTCAGAATGTGAAGTATTAGGTTTCTTCCATCAACTTTGAAATCTTATGGTGGTGGTTTCCATGGAGCTAACTTTATAGTTTGAGAAAGTGTATACTCTGGACCCGCATTCCTGGAATTTTGTCATTTAATTTCATCTTTATCAAGAGGAGGAAAATGAAATAAAAATAATGACTTTTCTGTTTGTTAACCCTGGCCTTCCACCAAAAGATAGGGAGAATGTGAAATTTTTATACAATGAGATTTGAGATATATTTATTTATTTGTTTATTTACTGTCTCTGCTCCTTATTTTTAGTCATTAGTATTGGGTTATATATAAAATTATTGTTAAAAATTATGTTAAGTCGGGTGGCACCTGTGGCTCAAGGAGTGGGGCACCGGCCCCATATGCCAGAGGTGGAAGGTTCAAACCCAGCCCTGGCCAAAAAAAAAAAATTATGTTAAGTTTGTATCTATACCAAAAAGAAAAGAAAAATTCTTATTTAAGACTCATGTCTCTGATTAAAGACATAGCCTACTATATATACTCACAAAAAAGTAAGGTTCATGTTATATAAACAAAAATTCTTTAAAAAATACATTTTTAATGAAAATAATACTAGCTGTGTTTCCTCATTTAATTATGTGAATTATGAAGACAACTTGAGTTCACATTAATTTTCCTCATCTTAAAAATTTGATTCTTCATATATATATTTCATCTGTATACAGTTCAATTAAAACTGTATCAGATGAATTTTTTGTATATTAATTGTATTTTTTCTGATTATAAAAGTAGTACATATTAAATCTAAAAAATTGACAAAGATATAAAGAAAGTAAATATCATATCTAATCCT